ATGCTAATGTCTCTACAAATTTTTCCCAACTTTCTCGCAACGCGCAGCGCGCAGAGAGAAAAAAAAATCCAGCGTAATGTAGAAAATATTGAATTTTAAACATGCTATATTACGCACATAACGCACATAACCTCACACCACTAATTTCTTCTTTCATTCCTCATTCCAACAAATTCTCATCCCACTCTTCCTGTTTTCTCATTCCTCACTCCACCTGCATTTTGTTCGTGCTCGTCGACCATACAATTCCGAAAGTTTAGAGAATCCATTCGGCCCCCATTCGACGCGTTTGTCTTGGCGGCGTGGTGTGAGAACTTTCAAAGTTGCCGCTCCCCGCTTTGTGCGTGTGCGAAATGCAAAGTCCTTAACATTTTCCTCTTTGGAAAATATTTATTCTAGCCTCATGGTAGCGCCTATAGAACGGGGGAGCTCCCGCAAATTTATGGCATCCAAAAATAATGTTTGCGCCCTCGCGTGCGTGTGCGGCGGCGAGAACACGACCTCTCCGCCATTCCACCCTGGCGGCGGCGGCGGTGTCGGCCTCTCCGCCGCACTCTTACAAAAGCGCGCAGCACACACGCTTTTCCCCAGGCCGTGGCGGGGGAGGCGGCAACGTGAGGGGCACTCACACACACACTCACAGCGATATTCCCCCCGGGGGTGTGGGATTTTTATTTTTTCGGCGTTTCCCCGCACAGTTTTCCACCAATCCAAAGTTTTCCCGGTGCCCGCCTACGCGGGTGCCCGCAAACCTCTTGTCTCTTTTTCCCACCGCCGGCATCCGAGTGCTATCTCGCTTGTCTGCGCTCGGCGGTTTTATCGAACGAACCTACGAACTCGTTTCTCTTTGCATCGCACACTGCACACACTACACACCTAGTGTATAAGTGTGTGGGTTCAAACGTGCTTCAAAGCACTTGGTGTGTGCGTACGGTGCGTGCGCGTGCGTACAATCCGCGTGCGTCTGAGTGCGATTTTTAAACGGTGTGCTTAGGACACTGTAAAAAATATGAGAGTAATTTAATACTGTGACCGCTGTTTAAACAAACCCGAAACCGAGTTCGTGAGTCTGACTCTCGCGCGCGCACGAAATTATATGCGCGATAGAGTGTATGTTTACTTTTTTCCGTCCGCGGCGGCGGCAAAACTGCACTAAAAGTGTCATTTTAAACTTTGTGCATCATGCATTCAAAAACAAAAATTTTCACCAACAAAAACAGCGCACTTATCAAAAAGTCTAGATTAAACATTATTCAGCCTGGAGGCGGCGAGAGAATTAAATGCAGGAGGCGTTAGCCGGACCATTATACGCTGGCCTAACTGCCGGCTATTTCTTTAAAATACTGGCGAGGATAATGGCCGAACGACTACGAAATGGCGTCGTTTATGCGCATTTAAGTTTAACTTTTCGGCATTAAACGCAAAACTCATATAAAAAAACGTGTATAAAATACAGGATTAATGATATCCACCCAGATAAATGATGACTCAATCATTTCGGAAATAAAAAATAAGAAAAAGAAAAAAATAATTAATAATCTGAATCCAATATGCAGGCAGAAACCGAAAAAGTCATACATTTATGCAAAAACGAACAATAGATGCGTCGCGCTTTTGTGTTCCGGACGGTTTGAGCTAAAAACCTATGCAACACAAGGGAGTAGCATGGTCTGTCGACCAACCGTCCTAAAATAATGCGCGCGTTCGCTTTTTGAAGCTAGTCGGAAACGTAAAATGCGCTCACCTATTATAATAATAAAATATAAACAATGCGCGTGTCGGTCAAACACACATTGCATCCATAATGCAGTGTTCCCATATAAAACTTGTTTTATCCATGTATAGATATAACATTGAGATGACCTTCAATTGCGTCTGATTCGACAGAAAGTCATACATCAATGTTGAGAGTTAATATGAAGTTGGCATAGGCCTGGAAGGCAATTTCGAGCCGAAATCCTTCAGGTTTCATGCGTTTGATTTGAATATGAATATGAATGAGAGGCGACGCGCGCGCTATAGAAATGCGATTTGTAGGCGATTCGTAGGCGCGTTTTTCATCCGCACACGTACGGAGCGCACGTATCCATCATGCGAACGGGCCGAGTGTATCGTATCAATCAGTGGACGGTTAGTCCCGGTCTGAAACGGCCACTAATCCAGGTGAATCCCGCCGTGACGAGCCCGCCATCGGATTGCGATTTGTATCGGACGTATAGGCCTACGACAACGGTGTGAGCACCACCTGCAAGCAGCCGCACACTAGAACTATCCGCATTCGAAAATGTGAAGGATTTTTCGGACACGACTGAAGCGTAATGCGTGTGGAGCATCGGGGGGCATTCGTATGCAAAGCCTACGAGTGCCATGCTGGTCTTTATAAACCCGAACTATTTAAAAATAAATTACACGGAAAATTGCAGTCGCATAAAGCGAAACGAGTGCAATGCACGGCCAAAACTGCGTTGGGGAAACATACAGTGTGTTTCAAATATTTTATTATTTTAAGATTTTAGAAGTTATGACTTGAATAAATATTGTTTGTAAATTTATGAGCTTTGAGTAAGGTGTAAATATATTTAATTGGTATTAGTTAGTTTGGGGTAATATTATAATTCAAACATTTCGTATATTTTGAGAATTACGAATGTGCCGCCTTCCTCCCAGTCATAATTCTCCGTCCACGTTTGCGTGTTGTGCTCGCTAGTAGTGAGCACAAAAGCCGAAAGCCATAACGACTGGGAGGCTGCGACCACTATATCATTGTGTCGAAATCGGTTTTCGGTTTTCAATGCAGAAACAATAAAGAATCGAGCGCGCGAAACAAAAAGGTTGTTACCGTGAAAAAATAATGCAAAAAGACGCAAAACATTGGCAAAAATATTGAAAAACAGTCTGTTATTTAAACCCCACGAAAACGTTTGTATATTTTTATAATATTTGCAAGTAAATTGCAAGAAAATTGTCTTAGAATCTTGAAAAATCAGAAAAAAACGTTTTTAGAAAACAAAATTTTTGAAAAGCACGATTTTGGAATTTATAATACCAAAATGAAGGAGATATTATTACCAAACAGGAGATTACAATATTTTTTATCATCTTTCTTACTAAAATTCACATTTTGCAATTTAAATTTTGAGTTTTTATCAAAATACTGCCAAATAAATTGCAAAAAACATTCTTGGGATTTACACGAATTTAAACTTTAATATTTTCTATCCAAAACTGACTAACCTAAATAATTTCAACCATAAAATTTAAAAAAATCGAAGATTCTAATTTTTTTGACATTTTTCTGAAGAAAAACCTCTTTGCTACTTAAATAATTCAACTTTTGCTCTTTGCGCTGATTGCAAGTCATGCGGAGGAGCAGCTAATGGATCAAATAATACAGCATCGTGCTTTTAATTAACGGATCGACCGACTAGCCAAATCCCTTTCTGCGCCCCATGCAAAGATCGAAGGATCGCCACGTCGCGCCGTTCTAAACAGGGGAAAATTCTCATTTAAACTTTATCAGTCTCTCGTTAAGCCCGAATCCTTTGATCGTCGAGTTTTTTCATGCGTCGTCCGGCCCCGACGTTGTGTCATCGTAATTTGCTAAACTTGCCTTTTTGACAAACCATCCCGTCCCACAACACCATTTCGCTATCATTTTAAACCCCGAATAGCCAAGCGGTTTTGAGGTTGAGTTTCAGGCGTATACATTGTAACTCACAACGCGCAGAGAAAAAAAAAACACACACACGGAGAGCAAAAAATGCCTGAAGAGAACCTTGGTAATGAGGCGTTCGGCCTGCGCAGACCGCGTATAAAAACCACGCGTATCCCGACTACCAGCGACGACCAACAAAAGCGGCAATCAACAATGCCGTTTAGCTCCCTGCTCAAAAGACGGACACCATGCGAGGCAATAAAAAACGTAAGCCGCCCTCGTAAAAGCCACAAACTCTAAACCCTGAAGAGACGGACATCTCTCGCTGGCCGTCGCTCAGGCGCTCTTTCTGCAAAACCACGCGTCCCGGGTTTTAGATTAATAATCGCATTAACTTTATAAATCGCGGGCGGTTTTCTTTGGGGCGCACGATTTATGCGCCGCTTTTCACATGTTTTGCATGCGCGGGGACTGTTAAATTATATGCGCGCAAAAAGAAAGAGCGGCGCGCGTGTACTGAGGGCGAGTTATTTTTCAACTCGGACGTGCCGGCAAGGAAAAACCTACGCCTGGGTTAGGACGAGGAAGATAAATGTGAAACGGAGGAAAAACCGCGGAACGTTGTTCTTGCACCGTTTGCATCAACGTCGAGATCCACCTATCTCTTGTTATTTTTTTTTTGTAAATTTTGTTTATCTAACTTGAAAAACGCTTAAAATTATCATTTTAATTTAAATACGCACAAAATTAGGTTAAATACATTCCACTATAACCCACTAGATGGCGTTTTTTTTTTAAATAATTATAATTAATTATAATTCACTTACCTTATGAAAAAGAAGTTGCTTCACAGTTAAGTAATAAGTTGAGCACGTCGCGATATGCATTCGGAACATTCGGTTGGAATTCAAAACACGTGCTAGTTGCAGGGGGGCGCTGGTGTTTGCGGTTCGAGGTTAGGTGTCATGGTGGTGGTCGCGCGCGCACACCGCGAAGATCTGTATGTTTGTGGCACCTTTAAGAACGCATCCGCCGCCCCCCATTTAATGCATCTGGCTACTCTCTAATCGAACGACAGACTGAAAAGTGAAAAATTGCTGCACGCCACCTCGCTCGCGGGCCTCGCGTTGCGAGCGCGCGAGGCGAGACACGAGGTATGAGTGCGAATCAAACGATATAAATAAAAAAAAAATGCACACACGCAAATATAGCCAAACAAATTCACGTGTATACAGGGTGTTACAAATCGACCTACATGTGATAATATTTAATTAATTAATTTTATTGTCATAAATTTAATTTTTGTTTTTAATTGGAATTTTTTTTTGTTTTGGTTATTTTTAAGGAATATGTGTTGGAGAAGGGGATGATTTGTAACTGCCAGTGGATATTTACGAACGCACATGAAAATAATAAAAAACAGAATCGACGAATCGAAATAAAAATAAAGCTTCGAACGGCGAGCGAAAAAAAGGCGCGCCAGCACGAAAAAAAAGAGCGTCGGGAACAAAATAATAAATAAGCAAAAAAAAACTGTTGCATACGTCATACCCACCCTCTTCTCGTGTGCATTCCGCTAGCTCTGTCCATGGCGCTGCGTCGAAGCGAGCGCGCACTCGAAGAGGAGGCGACGCGCTGTTTGTTCGCGGAGTTTTAAAAACGCGCATTCCAAAACAATAATACTCAATCAATGATAGCAATGAGCCAATAACCAAATGGGGACGGTGTTACACGCGCTCGCATGCATGTGCGGGGCAGCCGGAGAGGCGGAGGACAGGAGGGAGGGAATCGGCGGCGGGCGTCCCGATGTGACAACCCTGTTTACAAATGTAGCGATTGATTCTTCCCAATGTTGTGTTTCGTGCCGGCCGCACTGCCGGTGTCGGTGATCAGACTGTTTGGTCATTGTGACATCTAATGTGTTAAGTGTCTCTTGGTAACATCTCAGAAAGTCACCTTCAAAGTAAATCAATTTCCCGCTTCGAGGATGCAGTGAAACACTGAAAAAAGTGAGTAATATTGAATAAATATCATTATACAATCCCCTAAGACGTGGTAAACACATCCCGGGAGGGTTAATAAGGGTCAGTTGACTTTCCCGACATTGGCACGTGTTGGCACGCGTTCAAACCTGATCTGACGTGCGGTGGAACGTGCGCGGTCGTCTTCAGGGACGTGTTTGACCTGTCTACAATACACCCTTCTAATAATTACCTCTTGTAACCCTTAAAAAACATTTTTTTAAATCTTAATTTATTATTTTGTGTTTTGAGTGATAATATTTGAAAATTTTCAGTTTTTAGTGAATTTTTGGACCGAGAAGGGTGTGGTTACACGAAGCGAGTAGATTGTGTGTAAGTTATGCAAGTGAAAATGGCCGTCGCTCGTGCACGACGGGTTCTCTTCCGTTGCTACGCGCGCCGTTGATGAAAAACGCAAGGGGTGGAGTTTTGCTCCGGCCGCCGCTGGACGCCGCTGCCATGTGCGATGTGCGATGGAAAGCCGCAAAAGTGCGCTCCCTCTGTGTGTGTCAGTGTGAGTGTGTGTGTGTATAAACCTACGCTGGTTTTCTATTTGCATGTGAGAGCGCGGCTGTGCGTCTGCTTGATGGCTCCGAAAAGTTTCACCCCTCTCGCTTGCCATGCACGTTCTTCACCGCTACCCTTGCACAATGCCGCGTGCGCGTGATGGGCGAAAAAGGTTGAAAGACTACACGATAATCAACTTTATTCGCATCACACATAAGGAAAGTTCTTTCATTCAAAAGGGGGTGAAAGTTTTTGCACAGATAAGGAATGATAAGACATGAATATAATAATAGTCTACGATAAATTGTCACTTTATATGAAATATTGTAGATAACCCAACTTACACTTACATTACAAGCTTCATATAAAGATGAAATGCAGTGTTATGCAACACACAATACAGATTAACGTTTAACTTCGTTATTTCGCCAAAGCAACGCCGCTTTTCAGTTAAAACCGTTAACTGTATTTTAAAATGCTCCAACCACAGAGAGTGGCTTAGAAGCTGGCAGTCACGGAAACCGGCAACTAAATGAAGAATAATTGCTCGCCTCGACGTTTTCACATGACTTCACATGACTACTCAGCGGAATGTAACGCTGGCGTTTGTTCGAATATCTTTTGCACTTTGCACGCAAATTGAAGCTCATTAAATTACTGAATTAATTTCTGTAGCAATACTAAGTGCATCTTTTCAAAATCTTCCATTTTCTATCACGTAAAACTTGGTATTATATAAAATGAATAATTCTGACACGGTTACAAATCAGTAAATTACAAATTTGACGAATGTCGAACGCGCGCTTCTGTTTTCATCATTATGTGATACGCCGACGAACATGAAATTTAATAACACTCGCCAATGGACACAAGAGCATTTACGTTGAGCGCACGCACGAACAAAATGGAAGGTAAATTTATTCCATTCTATTTGTTACGTTTGCGCGGCGTTAACGTTTCGTTACGTTTGTTCAGCGCGCAACGCATCAGAAACGCACCAGGCCTCCGACGCAGAGCGGCGGCAACATAATATTCAGAAATGTTTGAGTTTCGATTCGAGTGTGTTTTGAATACTTCACTATATACGCCCGCCCGGGCTGCGTGCCTTTCAAAATATCAAAATTTAATAATATTCGGGAACGTTTATGTGATTTGCGTTTCTCTCTGCGTCGGCCATTGCTCGAAAGCGGCTAAAACTGCAAAAGCTGCGCAAGCAAATACAACTACAACATACAGTATGCTCCTAAATCTCAACATAATTAATAAATTATCATATTCAAGGTTATAAACGTCATTAGGTAAACATAACCTCATTTATTCTTTCAAAAACATAAATTTTGATAAAATATACAAAAATATTGCGTAATTTTAATTTATTTATAATAAATATATTGTTTTAATATATTATAAATAACCATACTGTATGTTTGGTTGCATACGTTGTAGTCGTGGGGCATAGACGGACGGATGAAGAGTAGTGGCAAACGTTGTATAGCGCGAGGCGAAATAGCCGACAGGATGTGTTCGTACGAAGCGCAGCTAGGACGATCGTACGTTTTGTATAAATTTGTCTGGCCCGGCGAGGACCTCATCCTCATCGTGCACGCTGCATGCACTAGGACGTCGGCGAGGACGCAACCCACAATACACGTGTGTGTGTGTGTGCATCACTCGTCGTCTTTCGTTTCATTCGCACGCGCATACTGCAGGCGCACATGTGTATTTAGCGCGCAACGCACACGAGCCTACATCATGCCATGCCAATGCGCGCCGGCAAAGTTCATTTTCCACATATTTCGAACGCAAATACGCCCGCGGGCATTCATCCATATTTATGAATTAATTTTAAAGAATGTCGATAATCTAATTTATAAACTTCGTGTGCGCGCATACCACGCACTAGCTCATGCACGCGTCTGTTGGTATATGTGATATGTGCGTGAAATATGAAATTCTAAAATACGCCGAAATGCCTCGGCAGCGCGAAGCGTCGAGCGGCTGCCCGCCGTGCGTGTCCTAATTTGCATATATTTAATATGTCTGATGCCCGAACATATTATCTCTGCGTACGTCATTCTCGTCCCGAAATGGGCTCGAAGCGTTGGGATTGTTAGGATTTTAGGCTTGCGGACATACGGAGGATGATCGTATGTGTGTGTACGGAGGGATTTTACTTGGTTGAGAAATGCCTATTATACGGAATATTGATATAATTAAATATTTATCAATCTAATACCTTAGCAGTAAATTAAAAATTTCTACAGTATAGGTACATCCTGTATGTGTTAATATATTGGCGAAACGTGGATTTGCTGCTGTTGTGCTTAGTATTCATTAAAAAATAATTAAAAATGTTTGCGCGCAAAATGTGCGCATGTTCAACATAATTGTCTCCTGCCATGCTATATTATATTTTGTTTCTTCGTTTTATTTTGTGCTGTGTCAGTAATGGCCGTTCTTGCGTCGATAGCTTGACATCGTGTCAAAACAAATTTAGTAATTTTCTCTGACGATGCGCAGAGACGACGTCATAGTGGACACATGCTGTGTTGGCTGCATACATTCAGGCGTCGGGTGTGAGTAAAGTTGTGAAAAAATGCGATTGGGTCTCATTTAAAATGCAAACAGTTTTTGGGTACATATTCTGATGGTTGAGTTTGTCTGGTTTCTACAACCTGCAACTATATTGTTTCTAGTTTACGAGTACGTTGTGTATTTTTCGACAAAAGTGACTTTTTTTAATTCAATTTAAATTAATGAAAGTTTTTTGGTTATTTTTTTATTAAATTTGATGTTTAAAATTATTATTTATGTGTCGTTTAGTTTCTCATTGGAAGTAATAAATTTGCCTCTTGTTTTACTGTCGTTTTGGACGTGGACTGTGTTTTTAGTTTAGTTGCAGAGCAAACTTCAGACTCACTCCAAGCTGAAACTTGCGCCCAAACCATAGGCCGCCCAAAACTCAATTTTCGTTGCGGCTCTATAAATACCAAAAGCAGTAGGCGGCGGCGGTAAGCGGGCTGCGGATGGCTGCCGCCCTGCCTGCATAACCCAAACAAAAATGTGCAGCGAGCGCGCGTTGCAAAAAATCACTCAACCAGCCCTAAAATTCTATTCAACGCGTAGGCCGCACGCAGTGCACTGACGCTCCGAAAACATTGGAGGTATTTTAGATTTTCGCACTTTTTCCATATGCAATTTTTGCACAGGGCGCATTTTTTCACTCCGAACTAATTTTTTTCTAATCTAGTTTCAGACTGACTCTTGCGGCGCTGTTCCCGTTGGATAACATTCAAAGAAAAAAAGAAGCTCGATCTAAACTCGGCGATGCCATTGCAGGGTGTCGGTTGGACGCAGCCTAAAATGACAGAACACAAAGCGACGCCGACGCCCGAGGAACAGCAAAAAAGGGAGCGAAACAGAGCGAAGGCGGGGGCGAAAATAGCGACAAGCGGCACACCGTTATTTGCATAAATTTGCGCTGCGCCCAAAAATAGTACTCCGGAAAAGATAATTAAAAGAGCCGAATGAGTGACACAAGTATCCAGCGTTCGTAGAGTCACTAGACTAGAACGAGATATTTTATGCAGCTAACAAGTTTCGTTGTTGTGTTTTTTGCTTTTGGTGATTGGCATGGCTGAAAAGTTATTTCCTCACTTTTTGTGGGATCTATTCTTGAATCTTTAATACTAGCCACTGACAAAACTAGAAACAAGTTAGAGGATTTTTTTATGATCAAACTTTTTACCACAAAAACTAAAATTGAAAAATAAAAAGAATAAATTTAATAAATTGTATTTGATGTGTTTTTTGTGTATCCTCTACTCAATTTCACTTATTTTATCTGTATTTTTACAAGTGTCTACCACGCCAATTGTTCCAACCCTTTTTTTCGTTTGGTCACCACCCCGTTTCATTTTCAGAGCGTCATACGCTGAAAAAGAAAACGCGCATTTGGAATTCAGCTTGAAAAACACCCCAAATGGTTTGAAATGCGTTGCGGTAGGATGAGACGCATGTGAGAGGGAAGTAAGAAAAGGGGTGTGAGGACACCTTCCTTGAACAGTTTCACCGCTCGTTTCAACTCTACCAAACCAGCAAGCTTACAGCGAGGGTTTGCATCCCTGCTATGGTAGTAGTATTGATTTTTCAGTTTTTAGACTTTCCTCGTCTATTGCAACGTAGATGGCGCTAGAATTAAATTAAACACTGTGTAAAAAATAACAAAAATAATAAATACACACCTGTTGTTAATAATAAAAGTTTAGAATGTGTATAAACAAAAATCTGTTTTAATAAAATGTGATTTTATATTTTAATGCAAATCTAATGTAAATTTTAAAAACTGTTAATGTTTTCTTCTTAATTCTTGCTCCTAAAACATTTTAAATCAAAATTCTGATAAATTAAGATTAAAAATTGATTGTAAACAATTGTCTGCAACAAAATCAAGTCTGCACCTTTAAATTAAAAATAAAAACCAAAACTTTAAATAATATTCAAATGTAATTTACTAAAACACGCATGAAAAGGCAGTTTGAAGCAGCTATACATATTTAAGTAAACCAAGTGACACTTAAGTATGATATACAAAGGAAATAAAAGCAATCGAAACACAGAAAAGGACACTTGAATGGCGCCTCACAATCACACCGAGTGCACGGCATGTTTGCACGATGGAGTGACCAAATCCTATTATGCGGATAAAAGTGTAATAGTCTTCATTACGCCGATAAGGACGATTAGAGCGGCGGGCTTTGGGTCGGGCGTCGTTCTATCATTAACAAACTGAAAACCTCAACTATGTCGTTACTTAGCGCAAGAGCGCTACGGCAAAACGATTCCGACGACGAAGCGAACCAAGCCAACCGTTGGGTCCTTTATCTACGTAATCTACATACATACGCGTATGCATGTGCGCGTATTTGCCATGCATGTCGACGATGACGATGACGCGCGACGCGACATTCTAAGTCAGAGCGAATGCGCTGTGCGCGCACGAAAAGGACGTTTTGCTCGCACCAGCTTCAGGTCTTTACACACCCGTTAACATTGGCGCACCAGCGAATGTCCTCAAAAGCTCCGACTCAGCATCCATCGGAGGAGAACGCTATTGCACAATCGTGGAAACTCGGAAATTCAAAACCTGTAATAAAGTGTTTTCGAAATTTATACAAAAAACATCAAAACAAACCTAACCTTAAAAATATACATCACATAACCTTAAAAATTTAACCTAAAATATAAAATAAACATTTTTGATTAAATTTTATGTTTGAGGTTATTTTTAAGTGAAAATGAAGATTTTTGACAACACCTTGTAGACTAATGCGGTTTTCGTAGAACCTTGGAGAAGAATGGTCCACGGTCGGAACACCGCACCGGCGAGAACGGTCATAGTGGGCTCATAGTGATGTTCATAGTCTCATGGAACAAGAGCATAATGGAAGGAACGGACGACAGTTCCACCTGATGACCGCTCTCGCGTTCGCTTGTTCCACCCGACCACGGAAGCGCGCACGGCGCATTGATATTGTGTGACGACGATGGTTGCGTCGATTAAACAAAAGACAAATGTACGATTCCATTGTATAAAAACCCAGCCGCGCTTTGCGCACAATGTTATAACTGCAAATTACATAATTGTATTGCAATTTCTATTTCTAAACGCGACGATTTACCAACTACGCAGTGCAATGCTTAGGTATGCAACCAAATTTACATCTAAAAATATAAAAGCATTTAAATCTCAACTTTATTTTCTATTGGGTTGAGAACGGGTTAAAAACGAAAGAAAAGTTCAAAAAGTTCAAGCTCTGAAACCGGAACCGCGACGTGAAACTCGCTTCTGTTGAGTTTGTCTTTATTTAGCTAGCTGGGTCATCTCTTTGTGTGTGTGTGTGTGCTGTGTCTTGCATCCCGTGGGAAATCAAGACGGGATTGCATTCTCAGCTTCTCTTGCTTCGTTTGTTCTTCTTGGTGTGCGCGCCGCGCAACGTCGTAACGCGAATGTAACGCAACTGCGCGGCGCGGTTGAAGCTCGGAGCTTGAGACTCGTTTATTTTAAACTTGATCTTAATTAAAACACACCTACGAGCGGCGTTATGTGTGCGGCGGTAGGTGCGAACGCTGGCGAAAGGTACGACCACGCAAGACCATGAAATATGAACGAATTATTCATATTTATTATTATAATCTAGTTCTCGCCGCTTAAGGTGTGCGAATATTGTTTCGGGGCTTCATAATTTTCCTATTTTGCAAGATATTAAATTTCCTGTTTTGGAGAAATACATTTATTGTCAGATTTATCAAGAAAAACAAGTTTTTTTAATAGAAATTTTAAAAATATTGCAAAATTGAGGATGGATCAGTAGAGTTAGGTTAGATTAAGTTGAGGTTATGTCTACCTCTTTATAAAATCAGTTTTTAATAGCAAAATACGCATTTTTCGGTAAAATTTCAATAAAAACCAAAACATTTGAAAGTTTTTTTTCGTATTTTTTTGTTTTTCTGAAGCAAAATATGGTAAAACTTAATTTCTCTAGATTCAACCTCAATTAATAAAACAATAACAAAATTTAACCTCACTTAATTGCAATATTTCAACCACTTAACCTCAAATTTATAACACAAACATGAATTTAACAAAAAAAATGTGTCCAGTGGAGTATTTGAAACTTTCCTATGAAAAATAACGCCAAAAGTTAGATTTGACACAATAATTAATTCAAAAAATACATGAATTTAAATAAATGCATAGTGTAACAACACAATTCTTGTTTTAATTGGCGTTTTAATTATTAAAATTGTTACTGCTGCGTCATTTTAAAACTGTCGCCAGTGCACCAATGGCGTTGGTTTGAAAATTGCAGCGTTTTATATCTTGCACGTTGCACACTTTCGGCCGAAACATGCGCGTAGGTGGCGCGGTTCACCGCGGTCAAGAGCGACAATTTTACATTTATGACCAGCCAGCGCACCCCGCTCGTCTCCGTAGGTGTTGCGCGCAGCGAAACGTTTACGCTCAGGAATGACAATAATGTCATGGGGTTGCGCACAAACACCCCCGCTGTTTGTATACGGTTTAATTTAATCTTGTAGTAAAAGTTGTTCAGTTGCACAACTCGTCGACGCCGCTGCAAGCGCCTGAGAATCGAGTTTCTATTTGTTGTTAAAAGACTACGAATAAATGAACAGCGCTGTGAACTTCACGACAATTTGAAAATGCAATTGTTAAAGTTCTACACTCTGCTATTGACATCCAATGACTTTTTACTTAAAATAATTTATTTTTTTGTTTTGGATAAAAATCTATCAGTTGATTTTGTTTTGGGGAATAAATACAGCACGCTTGACCAACAGTTAAGTACAAGTTACAAGAACAACATAGCTGGGGATCTGCGCAGCAGCAACATTAGTAACATCAACAACAACAAGAACAAACAACGATAAATAATAAATGCGAGAGCTTGGCGTATCCCGAACAGCTGCGTCTGCCTTGGCGTCCGCGAGACGCGCAAGCGATTGAATAATTATTGTTGGTTATTAGTTTCGTTAAAGACAATAAACTATCCCGGCTGCGGTGCAGAGGCGAGCAATAGAGCGTGAACATAATGCATAACTTGCGTCGAATAACTACACATTCAAATTCGCCAACAACCAACAACCAACAACCAGAGAGGGGCTTAGCGTCTGTGTGCTCGCATTTAGGTTTGAGTCTTCAGGTTTAGGAGGCAAATACTAGCCTCTGAAGTTTCATCTGCTTGAATTCAAGAGTAGAATAACGTTATCTACATTTATAGCCTACAGGGGGGTGAAGGGATGAAACAACCCCTTTGGTGATTGGTAGATAAAACCATTTCGATATAAACTTAATAATTTATAATTTAATTTTTATATTTTAACCTCAAATCTAACCTAAAACACTTTTTAATAGAAAAGTGAGGTTATAAAAAGATTCGCCATTAATTAGTTCTAAAAACACGCAAAAAAAAACAAAATGAAGCGAATTAGTTCTTATATTAATCGTCTGTGACTAACAACAGTTTGCCAAACTCGTAATTACTATAATAGTAATAGTTGCGTTTCGCGCCGAGCAGAAACTGCGGTCTTTACTTCGTTCTTGTTCTTTGCCCAACGGACCCAGCATAAAAACACTATACCCTCTTTTTACTACCAACATCACGTCCCAGTGTGTTTGCGTATGCATGCAAGTCGAAAATCGTAATTTCTTGGCGTCCTCTCGACGATGTGTAATTAAGCACGCCTTGGAGTCGTACTCCTTTACTCCCCCGAACAAAACAGCTGCAAAGTTACATTTCTCTTTGTCACCCATATAGAAATGGATTATTTGGTAGAGAAAGACGCAAGTATTGTGGCAACATGGACGGCTCCCAGCTAGATGAGGAAGAGGAGAATGCGAATTACGAAATGCGAATGTCTGAAAGGGGGTCCACGAGGGTCATTTCTAAGGCTTTAGCCATGCTCGGCAATAAGAAGCGCCAGCGATGGTCGTCGCTTTGTGTCCACCCCTCGCATTCACCACCCCCTAACGTAATGTTCATTCCCAGTTTCTAGCAACTTCCAAAAACCGATCCCCTTTATTACACTCCAGTAAATTACATTTCTTAAAACATTGAAATACATTTTTTGAGGTTAGAAAATTTAAATTTTTATTAATTTTTGATTTTACGCTTGTTTTGTTGAAAATAATAATTTATTCTTGTGTTTGGAGGAACGGGAGGTAGGGGTTTACGTCTTTTATGAGATTTTCTCATCGTCGTGCTCATCTTGCAGC